TTCATTCTTCTTCTTTGAGCCTGTTGGCCTGCCAGGGCCCTTCTTTCCTGCTTCACTTTTGCCCTTGGCACGATATGCAGCAATATCCTGAAATATTGTTTAAAAAAATAATAATAAAGTAAGCATCCGGTGTCGTTACTCAACTGTGAAAACCACTTACTTGTAAACAATCGAAGATGATTGACCAATAACCCTGATAACTGCCCAAAACGTAGCCAGTCTAAGTGTTAAGAGCACTTATCCCTCTAGGCTTTAACAAGTTAATGGTGTAAAATGACAAGGGTTGCAATACAGCAGTATCAGTACTTTCACTAACAATACTCTTTTACCTCACACACAGTGCCATAGTCCCTGCTGTACCTTCATATTATATATACATATATATAAAACAATTTATTTGACCCTCTGCTTTAAAAAAAAAAAAAAAGACTACACAGTAACTACAAGTCTGTCTGCAGGAATATACTAGTGCTACAACACTGGTTTCATTCAAAAGGAAGGTTTGATTACTTTGTGTTTAAGTGTACAATTTTCATTAGGCCTTTTCAAAACATAGCTGACAACCGTTAATTAATACAAGATTAACTAAATTTCCCAAGTTTTCTACAGTTATTCCCTATACCTAGTCTTAATCACAGCTTTAAAAAAGTAAGATGACAATGTACCTTTTCATATTTCTCCTTTAGCTTAGCTGCTTTCTGTTCATATGGTTGTTTATCTTTGGCTGACTGCTCGGACCACATTTCACCCAATTTCTTTGCAGTATCCCCAATGGATAGGCCCGGGTGTTCACTTTTGATCTTTGGGCGATGTTCAGAGCAAAACAGGAAAAAGGCAGATGGCGGCCTTTTAGGAGCATTGTGATCCTATTTCTTTCCTTTCTTATCCTTTCCTACCTTTGGGAGGAACGTAATTTTTCATCTCCCTATCATAGCGAGCTTTGTCACTTTTTGCCATATCTTCAAACTTCGACTTCTCCTTTGCAGACATGGTCTGTGGACATAAAAATAAGCGCCAAGAATACAGCAAAATTGTTACCTATAAACACCCAAAGACGAGAAGATCATCTTTAAGGAGCACATTTTCCTTAACTGCATTTTGCTTTCGAAGTCTTATGTAAGTAAAAACCTAAAATCGTCTGCCTCAAACTCTTAAGATATTCAGGTGAGTCATCGGGGGTGGCAAAGTTGAAGCTCTTGAGTTGCCGACTACCTACCTGCCTAAGGCCCTCCTAGCCGAAAACCACACCCGCACCCCCTCTCCCGCCTCACCTTCCATCTCTCCGAACACTTCTTGGAGAATTCCGCGAAATTGACGGAAGAGTCCGGGTGTTTCTTCTTGTGCTCTTCCCGGCAGGTCTGCACGA